ACCCCGTGTTGCTGGGCTTGTTGTGCCTCTAGGAGCGGTGGGATGGAGCAGCTCATCCCTGCGTGATGCCCGCTGGGGTCTGCTGGTTGCAGGAACCCCCGTGCTGCTGGAGTTCCTTGGCATGGCTGGTGTCCCGTGGGCCAGCCCGGGAAGCCACGGGCTTATGATCCGGTGGGCAGCTTGCCGGGAGCCCCAGTGCCCTCCTCGAAGCTGAGGTGCGAGCTCGGCTGCCGGGGGAACGCGCTGGTGCTGCGGTGCGGCTTCAGCTCCGGGGATGCGAGGGGTCCCATCCATCCCTGGACCTCAGGCAGCCCCGCAGCATATTTTGAGGGATTATCATCTCTTATCACCCCATTCCTCTCCCAGCAAACCGTCTCTGTGATGCCAGGGCGGCCGCCTCTGATGCTGGGCACCAGCCCAACCCATGGTCCTTCCAGCAGGTCCCACTTGTAGCCCCCACGTCGCTCCGTCAGGTCCCACTGGAGCTTTTTGGAGCTCTGAGCCCTCCGTGCTGGTGAGAAGGCGGGGGCTGCCCAGTCTGCAGGGCTTGGGGGTCCCCGCCAGCGGCCCCCCCAGCTCTGGGCAGGGGAGAGGCTGCTCTTTAATCCCATCTCTCCGCTCCCGCATCCCGGCATCCCGCTGCCAACAGAGCTCCCCTTGTTTACCCAACTCGGGGGAATCGGTTTACAAGGCTCACAAATACCCTTTTCACCTTTCCCATCAGAAAACACCTCCTGAAACAATGAGGAAATTGGACGCCGCCACCTGATCGCTCCCAAGGAACCTGCAGGGCCGGGAGCTGGGGGACCGGGGGTGCGGTGGCCGGGATGCCTGGCCGGGATGCTCCTCGGCCGCCGGCTCGGCTCTGCGGGTGGGCAGCCCCGGGTACCACCCAAAAATCACCTTGCGGGGCTTTAAGTGATGAAGGTGCCGATAACGGGAGGGGAGGCCAGCGCTCCCCGCCTGGCACGCTCTGCTCAGCGGGGTGCAGTTTGCAGCACCGACAAAAAGTTCTTTTTTTGTTGTTTTGTTGGTTTTTTTTTTAAACTCGACTGGCTGTGCTTAATCTTTCCTGCCACCTTTGACACCAGGAGAAAGGATGCTGAGATGTTATCTGTGAGGCGAGCCGCCATCTCCCTCCCAAATGGTGGGAGAGGTGGAGGAGGGCGCTGGGGGGGAAGGTGCATGGGCTGGGGACCCTGCCGGGTGCCAAGGGTGGTTGGGGGGCCGGGTGCTTGCTCGTGGGCTTCCACCGCAGGGCTCCCGCCTGTGCCGTGCAGGATTAGCCCCGAAAGCGCTGGGCACTCACGGGTGGGGCACTGGTTGTGGGTCTGTCGTCCCCCTCCCGTTGCAAGGGGCGTGCTGAGCCGGGGCGGACGTGGGCAGGGGTCTGCTGATGTCCCGGGAAGGGGCCGGAGCCTGGGCTTTCGGGAGGTTACGGCTTTGAGCAGCAGCCGTCCTCCCTCCCGGTGCCCCGCTGCTCTGCCAGACCCAAATTCAAGGTGTCTGACAGAGGCCGGGTCCCGGAGCACCTCGTTACGCACGTGTCGGTCTGAGTTTCAGCATCAAGGTTGAGCTGAATTTTGGTTTTTCCTTTTTTCCCTCCCTGCCTTAACCCAGGGAAACCAAACCATCATGTGCCGAGGGTACTGCCCGTGCGCTGAGGGCACGATGGATTTCCCTGGTGATGTAAAAGGTGATCCGTTCATTCTGCCCCGTTAGGATAAATTTGGAGATGCATCCCTGTAAAGGCAAGGCGAGGGTGTAATTCTTTTTTGCCGCCGTCGGTCCTTCTGAAGTGACATTTCTCATACCCAGAACTTGCTGTGAGACTGTGTACGGGCAACTCGCTGCGATTTTTTGGACGCTTTTTTTTCCCTGCCGTGAGAAATGCCGCTTTTCACCTTCTGTGTTTTCAAGGAGAATTTCCTGGAGAGCCGGCCCCCCGCGTGATGGGACCCGCTGTCCTCCTTCTTTGCCGCCGTCGGTCCTTCTGAAGTGACATTTCTCATACCCAGAACTTGCTGTGAGACTGTGTACGGGCAACTCGCTGCGATTTTTTGGACGCTTTTTTTTCCCTGCCGTGAGAAATGCCGCTTTTCACCTTCTGTGTTTTCAAGGAGAATTTCCTGGAGAGCCGGCCCCCCGCGTGATGGGACCCGCTGTCCTCCTTCCCTGGGACGGCCGTCACAGCCCACTGCCTGCCCGCCGGACAGCGTATTTTGGGGGAAGAAGTCTTACAACGTACGGTGCAGAGCTCCAAGAGCAATCGGAGAGGTGTTACCCTTCAGGGGTTTCCCGTCGCCACTCGTGGTGCCCGGCCTCCCGGCCAGGGAACAGCCCTGCTTTTCGAGAAGAGGGGGAGGATGCTAAGGGAGAAACGGAGGAGGAAAAATCAGGGAAATGGGCAGAGAAAAGGTCAAATGAGTGTGTGT